ATTACTAAATTTTGATCCCTGAAATTCTTGGTAATACCAATGTTCACTTTGTCTGGTTTTGTTGCAGTATGCCCCATATTATAATAACTTATCCGATATTAATATCGTGTAACAAAATTTTTTAAATGGATTCAACAATTTCGGAACAATATTTTAACGAAAATGAAAGACTATTAAATACAGAAGATTTTTACGATGTAAAAATATATCTTGGTGCAGAACCAAACATTAAAGAGATCCATGCACATACATCTATCATATGCGCACATTGTCCATTTTTTAGAAATGCATTAACTAATGCAACAAGGAAAAACGGTTATTATATTATTGAAAAAGCCAATATTAGTGAAAAAGCTTTTGACCCTATTCTCAAGTAAGTTTAAAATTATATTATTATTGCCATTAAGTTAATTAATTTAATATTATTGAGTTTATAATAATAATATTTATTTATTTTGAAAGATTTTTGTACACATGTAATATAGAATTAGATGATTATACTGGAGTTGATATTTTGCAAATATTAATTACAGCTGATGAACTTGGTCTTGAATGGCTTTACAATTATACAATGAACTACTTTATTGAAAATCATGAGGATTATATAGAAGAAAATCCAGTTCAAATTCTACAATCAGTTTATTCTAACAAACTATTTATGGAATTGGAAAGTGTCTTCCTAAAGAAATTTTGTAAAAAATTATTTGAGTCAAGTGAATTTAAATTATTAGAAAAACCAACTTTATTGGAGATTCTTAAAAGGGATGATTTTTGTGTTGATGAAATAATTGTTTGGGAAGATATCCTTAAATGGGGGTTAGCAAGACATCCAGAAATTAATAACAGTGAAATTAAAAATTGGTCACCACAAAATTTTGTTGATATGGAAAATACATTAAAGGAATTTATTCCTGTAATAAGATTTCAGGATATTTCTAAAAAGGATTTTTGTTCTAAAATTATTCCATATCAGAAGCTTTTTTCAGAGTTATTTTGGAATAACCTTTTACATTGTTATATAATGGATGCTGATCAGCAAACTTTGAATTTATTACCATCAAGGAATCCAAACATTCCAAAAATTCAATCATTAACAATTAACAATGAGCTTATTTTGCTTTTTGCAAGCTGGATTGATAAAAAAAGCCCACAATCATTCAGAGATCTTAAATACGAATTTAAACTTATATATCGTGGCAGTAGAGATGGTTTAAATCATACTAAATTTCATCGAAAATGTGATAATATCAATAAAACTCTTGTAGTTGGCAAAATACAAGACTCAGATCAATTAATAGGAGGTTATAATCCACTTAATTGGAATTTAATTAATGGAAAGTCTGTATATAAAAATACAACTAAAAGTTTTATTTTTAACATTATTGATAGAAATGATCTTAATACTGCACAGTTTAGTTATGTTATTAAGAATCATGATAAAGCAATTCGCTGTCAACCTTTATCTTTAGCTGTTTTTGGTGGTTATGATCTTAGCTTCAAATCAAATCATACTATTGCGGGAAGTCCATCTTCTTATATTAACATTAATATAGTAGATGATAGTGAATATGATGAATTAGAAGTATTTCAAATAATTGATAAAGAATAAAATTAGAAGTATTATTTTATTTTACTAGCTTAATATGGATAATTAAAGATTTCAATATTCTTCCCTTAATAGTCATTTAACTCGAATAAATATAAAAATTTTTTTTCATATAAAAATTCAATATCTAGTTCGCATTATTTAGAAATGGAATTTGTGCTCATTCCCCTTTCAGAGATGTCTCCAACTCCAAACATTTTTTGCTCTCCTAACCCATTCAATATTATTAATTCAATTAATAAATATGAAATATCATATTTTTGAAAAAGGAAGCCAACTGTTTATTTTTCAAATGGAATACTTGCACTTGGATCAAATTCTCTGTTACTTTTTCTCTAGAGTCAGCAGCAAGAAGTGTTGTTTCTAAAGTTTGCTTTTTCATAAATTCTTTTTTTGAGATAGATGCTTTTTCCACCACAATGAGCATCTACTGTGATTTATGCACCCATTTGATAGAAAGGACAGAATAATCACAGCATAAAAAGCACCATGATTTTCTTTTGCTCTTGTGTGTAAACTGTCTCTGCTAGTTTTATCGAAGACATTTTGAATTTTTTATTTTATTTTTGTTTCTTTACCTATGCAACATGCGAAGAACTATTATCTTGCATCAATAAAAACATTGTTTAGATTTTTGTTTTACTTGATTTGTCTCAAAAACAATCTAAATAAACGCTCATAACTCCATCTTGTGTTTGAACATTATAAAAGCAACGAGCGCAGTACCTTTGGCAAAGGCAATAATAATAAGCCACATTTTAGTGAGGTTACGGTTAATAAAAATAAATCGGTCGCAAGTAAATAATAAAAAGGAACTTTATATAAGCTTTCGTAAAAGAGTCATATCAATCTATTTAAAACCATAACGAAGTGTAACAAAATTAAATAATTAAATGAGTGTCATATTGATATCGCCTTTGCAAACATATAAAACTAGCAATTCTCATGCGTAACATCCCTCATAACAAGGTCCATTATAAACGAGGCAGTAAGCAAGAACCCAAGTAAGTTCGTAAACTAATTAATTGACAAGCACTAAATTATTGTGCATTATTTGACCAAATGTTAAGCCATACTTGTTAAATACATTTTTAATGTTTGAGCAATTATTAAACTTTTAATTCGACAGATTATTTAAACGCCTAGATAATCAATTAATTAATGATATTTGAGCAATATATAGGATCTGATGACGAATTATGATGCCTGAGATCATTTCCCATTACGCCTCTTTTTGAGAACCAAGGTTGATTATATGAGAATGATGAACTTTTATTTAAGCTTGTTAGCACACATATAGCCATAAGTTGGTTAACAGGTTTTTACGTTGTAACAATGTTTTTCTTGATTGTAAAGCATGACAATATATATCTTCAATTCCAGATACTTCCAAGTCCCATGTTTTCTTCTACTCTTGCTTCTAATTGCTTAGTTTTTTCAAGCAATTCATTCTTCTCTTTCTCTAAACTAGTTGTTAAGGATTGTAAACTTTTAACTTCTTTATCAGCTTTTACTCATCAATTCATTGCATTTTTATGCATGTAAATAAGGTGAACAAAACTTTTTCTAAATTCTTTTTCTTCTAAGTGTTTTAATGCATAAGGGTGAAGTCAAAAATAATCTATAACTGCTCTTATCTCTGTTTCATCTGGATTTCGGTTTAAACTACCAATTAGTTCTCTTATTTCCTTTTCAGTTAAAATTATTTCTTGGTTTGTCATTATTCTTTTAATATACTTATATCCTTTTTATGAGTGCATATTAAGTATATAAATTATTTTAGTACTTTTTTTACTTTAAAACTAACAATATTTGTCAAAAAATCAAACTTATTAAACTTAATGACAATAAAGGACAAATTAACAAGTGTGATAAAGTCATGGAAGTGATTTTATTTTGAATATTTTATTTGTTGCAAATATAGAATGGTTTTGGGCAAGTAATATCTTTGAATTCATCTCTAACAAATGGACGAATATTCTGGTAAAGATATTCTTGCCTTTTGTAATCCAAAGGAGGTGGCATTAACACTAAAATAGATAGAGCTTTAATTTCTTCAAAAATATCTGCTTTCTTAGTTTTCAATAAATTGAACTCAACAGAAGGTCCATTAGCAACTTCTTGAACTTTCACTGTACCAAGATTAGATGCTTCAAAAAGAAAATGTTGATATCTTTGCAAGCCATTTAGCTTCTTAAAATAAATTCCCAAAATAGACTTGATATCTAAGTATTGAAAACCTTTTCCACCTTCATAACATTGAGTTTTATTCAATCCTGCTGGACTAGATCTTTTCACCACATCAATCACATGATCCAGACAATCTACTCTTGTTTTTCTATAAAGTTTTTTAATCAATCCAAAACTACCATCACATTTGAATTTGGTATGTCCAGCAATCATGAAATTCAATTCAACACTTTCATAATAACCACAAATTACCAAGTATGAATAAAACCAAATTGTTACATTATTTTTATTTTGACCTCCAGCCTTATCACAAGCAATCTTTAAATGCTTTTCACCTTTATTCAATTTCTTAATTCCATCAAAAATCATACTCAGTGTACCATTTGGGCCTTTCCCTATAATTTCATCTTCATTAAGAACATAATTAATTTGTTCTCTTACTGCTTCATCTTGAATACCAAATAAATGAACTTTACATGGACTAAGGTAATAAATTTTACTTACTTGTTGATC